TGATTTCTATTCGTCCTATTGAATAAGTTGAGCCTGAGCTTATATGTTGAAGCGTTGATCTTTTGTTTTCTTCTACTCATGCAAAGTTTCTGGTCTAGATGCAAAATCTTTGAGCAATCTACAGTTGAATTTTATACAGGGTTAGGGAAAGAAATCTAGTTTTATTCTTCTGTTGGTATATAGATACCATCTAATATATGGATATCTAGTTTTCCCAGCACCATTTGTTTAAAAGGCTGTCTTTTCTTTAATGTATGTTCTTGATATTTCTGTCAAGGATCAGGTGTCTGTTTTAGTATGGGTTTTATAACAGCAGATCTTAATATAGAATCCAGTGGTCTTTTTACTGCATCATACTTTATCAGCAATGAACAATTTAAAATAAGAAATTGGAGATACTGTTTTTCATGTCTGTCTTCCAACCAAAGTAAAACGTCTTCACAATGGTCTTATTTTATTGTTTACAAGTGCATTGGTTGAATTAATGATGGCATGCGCATTCTATGTTCTTAAGATGTTCATGGACGTATCATAATTTTTCTACAAAAGTGTGAAAATGTCATTTTATAAACGTATAATCTCACCCATTGGAATAGTATGACTTTGTTTTGGATTCTGAGGTTCAGGCTAAATTTAATTCTGCCCATTTTACTCTTGATAGTTATTTCTAATCTTTGGTAAATGAAATCAGGAATTTCATTTTTTACATGTGTATGTGGTGTATGTGGTAAGACCCTGCCAATCAGTAGCTTCCATGAAACCCCAAATGTACCCCTGAAAATTCTGACCAGCTTTCTCCTGATCAAGAGATTAAAGGATGCCAGAAATTATAAATTGGCTAAGAAGCTGGAAGTGCTTCCAGACCTAAGCAAGCAATTACAGTCATTCCGCCATTCCAGTCATACAATAAAACTGCTGACTAGAAACTACAATGACTTGTGCAGTGTTCTTTTGCTCATTATAAAAACATTTCCTCTGAAAATAGGTCATTGCAGAACAATTTTTTTTCTCTTTTTAGTTACTAGACACAAACAATAATGCGCTCTAATGGAAAATCACTTTAATCAAAGTCAGAAGATCTGAAATCTCCTGTGATGAAGAAGATGAGATTCACAGGTCACAGATAATTTTGTGAACTTTTCTGGGCCATGCTTTCTCATTTTTTAAAAAAATCTGAACTGAAAAACATGATTAACAAAATTACCTACATAATATTATAAGTACTGTTTTTTTGGTTAACCTGAAGGGTAAAAATTATTTTTAATGTATTCACTCAGTGTTATTCATTAATTCAATTATTTATCATACAATTTCTGAGTGACTTTGCTGTGCAAGCTATTGTATTATTTATTTCAAAATTATATCTACTTTAATTAATTAATATTTATTTTCTTATAGAAGGAAGATAAATAGAGTAGAGGAAGGGGTTTGGGAAGAAGGGAGGAGGGGAAGATCTGGGGAAGTACTGTGAATGAAATCTACCAAATTTTGCTATGCTTGTGTACAGATATATCACAGTGAAATTTATATATTTATACATACACAAACATATGTATATAAATATATAATATGCACTAATTTAAATAATAATAACAATAAAGAAGGGAGATCAGTACAGTAGAGCAAATGGATCAGGGGGAAGGAGGGAAAGAAGGAAAAGGAAGGCAAGAGGGAATGACATTCATCAAATTATGCATGTATAATGAATATGGCATAATGAATCTCATCATTATAATTTTACTGCACCAAACAAAAAATAAGAAAATATTTATTTTCTTCTTGGAAGAGCCTACACCCATACCTCCCTCTCTCCCTCCATCCATTCCTCATCTATCTTTTATCAGTAAATATGTATTAATCACTATTGCTTGTGAGTCTTTAGAAGTTCATGGACTTTCTAATAAGGTAACATTTCTACATTACCTGGATGATTTGATTAAAAAATATATACAAATCTTTAACTCATCTATCAATTAAAAGAAGAATGATTTTTGGAATAGAAGATAATAGTATTTAATGTGTTATTTAAAATTTTAATGAGTTTTGTAATGGTAGTGATATCAGAATTTATATTAAATTGAAATATGAGGAATTTTGTGTGATGTGAATTGTGATTGTGTACTCTGATCTGATGTGTAACACCAGAACTCATATAAATCTATACTAACAAGTTATGATGCTATTTAAAGAAATGGGTTGAGCAAACTTCTTCCCATAAGAGAGCTCTCCTTCCTTCAGCCTGTTGGATTATAACAGTGACCAATTCATTAGAAATAAGTGATCTATTATGGTAAATACTGGATGATAGTAATAATATTCACCAAAATACCCAGCTAGTTGTTTCTTCATTTAAATTGCTACAGTGTTATTAATCTTGGCAGAAGACTACCTCTCCTGTAAAATTAAAAATGGGAAAGTTGTATGATTCTTTATTCTGCTGCTTAGCTACATTGTAGATAAATTTGTTCCTCACCTGGTGTTTCATTCAGAATAATTTTTAGGCATTGAATTCAGATCAAATTAGATTTGTAAGATTGTTTATGACCTTTAAAACAATTTTTTTTTTTTGCCTTGGAATGAGCAAACATGTAATATAACTGCATGCTAGAGGCCAGTTCTAGACATGCCACTAGTACAAATGGATTTAGAAAAAGCAGCCCCTGCCTTCCATCTGTTTTTAGGAAGAGGAAATGGTACTTTCAAAGAGTTCTACTGAAAATATCCCTTACCTCTGAGAGTCACATTGTTGGCATATTGATTTTGATTTGCTCACTTATTCTACAATTTAGTGAGGTCATAGACATTTATTTAGTGTCTGTGGCTCTTCAGATAAGATATATATTTTCTTCTTGGAAGATCCCAAATCCCTCTCTTCTTCCTTCCTTCCTTCCATTCATCCATCTATCCATCTTTTGTGAGTAAGTGTGTATTAATCACTGTTGTATGCAAAAACATTTAAAATTTTGTTGACTTTCTGTCCAGGTAACATTTCTAAAGTTGATCTCACTGTAGAATAAATTATAGTACAAAAATACTGTCATAGGAAACTATACATAAAAAATAGCAGATTGATTAAAACAATAAAAGAAAAGAAAGAAGGCAACCATTTTTTTTTCTGTAATGTGAATGCACTTTGTGTGGTTTTCGCTGTGGGTATTTAGTAAAGAAAAAGTAAGGGGTGGGGGAAAATCATTCTGTTTTTTAAGAAATGGTGTATTTCCTCAGAACTACAAAAATGTAGTGTATTTCTTCTTTTGTCTCTTAGTGGCCATGCTTAGTGCCTGGTACCCAAGCTGGGAGCCCTAGTGCATGGTGCTTATAGAATAGCAGCCAATGCAGGGGCAGCCACACTGGGTCACAGTCAAGCTTTCTTGTCAGGTTAAAGGCTTTATAAAAGGCATCATCACTGAGCAGAATTTTTGAAGGTGAGTGGATATTTCTAGCATAGAATGGGGGGAGTAATTCTAAAAAAAAAAGGACAGTAGATAAGACATGAAAGTATGCATTGAAAACAAAGGGTGTCACAACTGTTGACCTGTGTAAGGAAGGGACGTGGAGGAAGTTAGGACAGGTTTCACACACCACATAAGCAGCTCTGATTGGGCTCTCTTAGCAATAGAGTGTCATGGGAGGATTTAAAAATAAACCAACAAAGCAAAATTATTTGCTTTCCTAAAGAAAGCTCTCACAGCTGTATGCCAGAGGGATGAGGGGCATAGGTTAGCCAGTTCCGTGGTGACGATGTGGGCATAGGACCTGTCAGGGGAAGGTGCAGGGGACGTAGAGGTTGCCTTGGCTATATGGGCTCAGGAGGAGGGAGTAGCTCCCAGGTTTCTGATTTTGTGTCTAAGTGGATAATAGGAAAATGGGAAAGAGGAGGATTTTTCTGGACTTTGGGAGAAATTGAGGTACCTTGTATGGTGCCTCATCTATTAGATCAAATGGATGAATGAACATCAGGCATGGAAGATGTGGTAAATATGTCAATCTAAAAAAATACAAAGATTCTCCAAAAAATACTTTTGTTAATTTGTGACTAGCAGAATATTGGAATAGCAGACACTGCAATGGGAATACTCAAACCATAGTAAACTGTGTGTATATTCAAATTGATTGAAGCAAGGGAAATTTGTTAAGGCAAAAATGAGGAGGATTGCATCAGATATTTTGTGACAACAATCCTTGGCCACAGTGATTAATAATAGGAGTCATGTTCTTCTGAGGTTGCATAGATAGTTGCTGGGCAATTGTTCTCACAGAAGTAATGTGCATCTAAGGTTGTGGTGGCTTTTGTGCATATTTGTGGTCCTGCCAGTCTTTTGTGATAGTTAATATCAGGCAATCACACATGAGAACCTTTCCTTTATAACCTCTCAACTTCATTTATTATTGGTTAGGCTTGACAAAAGTAACTCCATTTTGATTCTAGGAGAATGGTAGAATTTTGTTATGTTTACCTATGTACATGAATGTATGAATCTCTCCCTTCATTGTATGCACATATATATAGGTATGTATGTATAGATAAGTATATATATATATATATATATATATATACACACACACACATACATACATTTATACTACCTTAGAATTCTTGAAATACTTTTTATTCACTTTTATATAGTTACTTGAAAGTCAAAAAATTTCTTATGAAGGTCAAGGAAGGAGAGAAAGGGGCCCAAGGCAGAGACTGCAGGATAGTAACATTGTAGAGATAGTCCTAAGAACATGATTTAGAAAAGAAATTGGAAATAGACTGTTTATAGAGACAGCAGAAGAGCAAGAGGAACTTGAGGAGGAAGGCAGCAAAATACCACCGAAAGGACAAGCACAATAACCACCAGATTCACTGAGTGTCTATCCAGAGTGGACATGCAACCTAGACCAGGGCCACGTGCATGAAGCAGGAAAGGAGGAAGCTGGCTTGCAATGTGTTGAAGAAGGAATGCAACTGAAGTGTGAGATGTGGAAATTGACTTATCTTAAAAATAAGTTTAGGAACTGTTTTCTTTTTCAGTTGTTTTTATTGGAACACAGATAATGTCATAAAAGATAAAGCAAAAATATATTAAATAATTTACTAAAATTTTGTTGGATGAAGATATGTTTCCCAAAAAAGGATATAGCATAGCTGACAAAGTTTAGACTATTGCAAAATCTAATGTCTCTGTTCCCTTGTGTAACTCCAGGAATGAAGTGGTGAATGTATAGACAGATGATTCCCAGCAGTTGGCAAACAGGATACATTTCCCAACACTTGGGTAGGTCTGGTGCCTGACACTCAGGCACTGAACTTCAAGTGACAGTGACCTGACCTGTTAGTCTCATTTCTGTTAACTGGGTGTTTCTTTTCTTTCTCACAGTTGATTTTGAATTGGAAGAAAGTATATTTTGAATTTTCATCAGACAGCATGTTTTTGCTAACGTGTTTTTTTTTTCCCCTTTACTGATATAACTGTATGTTGCTGAACTGAAACTGGTTCTGTATTTGCTTTAGATTTCTAGTATTTCCTTTTTTGATTTCCAGTATTTTAAATTTTTTCCAGTTACAAATCATAGGTGGTTCATTCTATTTTTATTGTTCTTATTATTTTGGTTTAATACTCAGGATCGACAGTAATGCTAAGGATACAAATTTTCCATTGTGTACATAAAGGTAGTGAGACAACCTCTCTGATTAGGCAAAGATACGGTAACTGGACGATGACAATGTAGTATTTAAAATGTTCTAATAGCAGAATATATGTTGATACTCGCAATGTTTTGACTACTGGTACACATTAGACACTATCCCATCAACTTTGCATGCCTTAGGACATTTAATACTGAGTTTCATTATCCTAGTTTTATGATGAGGAGCCTCTGAGACAGTCACACAGCTGGGAGTGGCCAAGTGTGACACAATCAAGTATGTGTCCCGGCTCTGAAGTCTGCTTTTCTAACCACTATGCTACACTGCCTGTCATTTCAAAGGCCTGAGGGGAGCACAGGGGAATTTCCAGAGAGTGGCTGATGGGGACTGCTTCTCTGTGCAACTGAAGGATGGATGTGGAGGCTCATCAATAGCATTCCAGTAGTTTTGAACATCAGGAAGCACCCAAACAGATGGTGTCCCAGCTCTTCTTTCTTCTGATCTTCTTTAAGCATGCTCTCAAGGTTTTGTGGCATCTTTGACACCTCGATCCCTGTGAGAGAAGCAGAAGAAAGGAAATGGCCTTCTAGGAGAAGAACAACGTGTGTATACATGTAGGGCTGTAGAACAGTGTGGCTAGGGACTGATGAAAAGTTCCACCTGATGGGGCTGGGAGAGAACCAGGGAATGCCAGGGTATGGAGTTGAATAAGAGCTATGCAAACTGGCTCAGCTCTATTCATAACAGGGGCATCAGGGGATCTAGGAGGACATCTCATGCCTGACAAGCCCCAGATCACCAGATAAATGGTCAAAGACCAGATGGTGGGGTGATGTTTCTGACTCCCCCAGAACAAAGTAGCAATCTAGTGATAGGAAACAGGAAGGACAATCAGGATAAATATAGGACAAGATAAGAATATAACCAAGTCTGATCTCAGTGACTCTGTAAGATTCTTTCTACTTTCAGACGATGTTTATTGGGTCACGTGCAAATAGGCCTGCCTTGTCTAGTGGGATTGCTGATGCTGATACTGACCTGTCCTCCCTCCCAGGCATAGGAGCATTCTGAAGAGCCACACAGAAACCCAGAGAGAGCATACAAGAGTGAAAACTATTGCATAGTAGAATACTGAACCTGATACTATGGATTATGTTAAATAATTACTTTCAAAGGCTAAATATTATTATTTTGAAAAACATTTTCAGAAGGAATGACAAAGTTAGGAATGTCTTAACATTCAACAGGCTATGGCACTTTGGTTTTATATGAAAATCCACTTAGAGCATCTTATTACCAAATAAAAGACACGATTTGGTGTAATATGATGTTTCACTACCTTTAAGTGAAGCTTTGCTATTGGCTCCTATTTTCACATGCAATGGATGGTGACTCATAGTCAGCCTGTGGCCTCACACTGTGACATTCAGGACAAATTAAGCCACCTCATCTCCCTTGAAATCATTTCTCTGACTTGGAAGACAACTACCATTTAGTGACACCTGCTGGAAGGACCAAATATGCAGAGGATGAAAATATCTGGAACAGACTGTCAAGGTTTTTGCAGTTTGCTCTGGGTTTCCACGAACAGGTATATTGTCCAGAATTATAACACTCTTTTTACATTAAGGTCCTTCGAATTACGTGAATAATGCAGCTGTATCCTTGCATTAAGTACTGACTTACCTTGGATAGGTTAATATCTTCCATTAACTGTGTCACTATTAGCTCCTTTGTGGAAACAAATAATGTTAATTTTAACCAGGTAATCCATGAAAGAGAAGGGATTTAGCACGGAGCTCTCACTGTTCTGCCTGAGAATAGCAGGAATTTTCTTTTACATAATGAGGTGGAAAGTGTGTTCATGTGAGGATTAGGAGACATGTTTTCGGAAGCAGCCTCTGGACCTCAGTGGCTGATGGTGAATGTACTTGTCATCCTGAGATTTCAGTTTTCTCACAGTGTGTTGGAGGTCAGTGGGACACTGGAGGCAGGGCCTGCTTTGTGAGCAGACGTCCTAGAGGGTTGTTCTCCGCGGCCACTTGTTTTACTTTTAGGGAAATGAGATATTCTGGGTCTTAGTTTTTCAGCTCTGAAATCAGCATACTAACACTTGCCTTGAAACAGTAGTGTTCATTTTCAGCTTGGCTGGATATGCGAGTTTGTTGTAGTTCTCTCCCTTCCCCTTGACTTTTTTTCTTCCTTTTCCATATGTAAAATCAGAGGTTGGAGGAACTGGACTGTAAACTGGTTTCTTTTTAAAAAGTTCAGGCCTATGGATTTGGTTCAGTGGTAGAGCATGCACTTAGTATGCATGAGGCTCTGGGTTCCACAGATAAATAAATAAAAATAACAAAATGTTCAAGTTTTTTAAGTTTATAAAAGTATTGGTCCTCTTTTTTTTTGTTTTTAAAGAAAAAGCTGGGTGTGGTAGCTCACACCTGTAAATCAGCAGCTCAGAAGACTGAGGCAGGAGGATTGCAAGTTCAGAGCCAGCCTTAGCAACTTAGCGAGGCCTTAAGCAACTTAATGAAATCGTGTCTCTAAATAAAATATTTATAAAAAGGGCTTGGGGATGTGGCTCAGTGGTTAAACCTCTCTTGATCCAATCCCCAGTACCAAAAATAAAATAAAATGGAAAAGAAAAAAAAAAACAAAACTAGGACATTAAAGACAAGTACATATTTTAGATTTTATGTGTGTATGTTGTCTATTATCTTCTAATTTTAACTCTCTAGGGCACCTGACCGTGCTCAGTGCTTTAAGACCCATAAAGTAATCGATTCCCTGATCCCAGGGATTTTGTGAACAAGCACTCAGCAGAGAGAGCCTCAGTTCTGCTTAATCTAATCCACAAGCTTGAGAGGGGATGAAATGGTTTCTAAAAAATAGCGTGGATCTGGGAGGGGAATTTCATTGAGGAGAAAAATGAAAAAGCTTGATGATGGAAGAACAGTTGTAAAGTTGTTCTAGTATCGTCTTTGAAACCTTTATAATATTCTTATGTTTGTAAAAGCACTTTAGCCATTGTTGTAGATATGTAGCTAAACATCAATATGTACAAAAACAGAAAAAAAAATAAGTTAGCCCACAACCATATGTACCAAACCAACCCTGGCAAAGTTCCCACAGGGTCTGGCTTCCTTTCTTGGACTCCTACAGGGTTGGCTCTGTGTAGACTTGGTTAGAACAATGACTACATACCAGGGACCAGGGTGTGTGTGTGTGTGTGTGTGTGTGTGTGTGTACATGCAGGCAGAGAGATTTAAGCCAACAGACCTACGTACACAGAGGAGCTGATGTTCCAGTTCAAGTTCAAGATTACTCTGGAGTCAGAATTTCCTTGCAGGACCTCAGTCTTTTTCTTTTAAGGCTTTCAACTGATTGTTTAAAGCCCATTCCCATTATAGAGGGTAATCTGCTTCATTCAAAGTCAGTTTATTTGAATGTTAATAACATTGAGAGGAAAGCAACACAAAACCTTTGGCACAGCGGCTAGATGGGTATTTGCCCCAAACTGGGTACAAAGGGTACCGTGGCACAGCATATAGGGACTATGCAATGAGAAAGCAGGACAGCAGCTGAGTGAGGGGCAGCAGTGGGTCATGGGGATCATTGAGAGCTAGGTCAGAGTGACCACCTGAGGGCTGGACTAAGGCAGCAGTCTACCTCGCGCTCTGAAGCCAGTGATGGCCCTGTGGCTGCCAGGAGTGTGCAGATGTGAGCTCCTTACAAATGAAAGGATGACCCCTGCTCTCGGGAGTCATCTTGCTTCCTTCTGCCCTTTGAAGAGTTCATGGAGTGAAGCAAATGGCGTACATTTCTTTCCACAATTGTGTGTTTTTGCCATTACAGTGACTTAATCGTATCCCCACCTTCAACAGGAATGCTTTCGGCTCAAGAATGAATCTGCTTGATCTTTATTTCATGAAGATAGGCTTTCTGCCTGAATGACTATTTCTCGGTTGTATGAGAAACAACTAGCAAATGCAAACAGAGAAACAGCCTGTTAAGACAGGTGCTGAGAGCTCCAGTTTATTTGTTTTGCTCTTTCAGTATGAGATTTTTTTTTTTTTTTCCTAAAATGGCCAGTATTTTATTCCAAACAAACCTGAGACTGTCTTTAACCCCGGACATGATTAGGAGGTTTGCAGCATGGTAGGACCAGCTCTGTGGACTGGGTATGAGATTTAGACTTGTCATTTTTTTCTCTTAGTGAAATTATGCATCGGGTCCCAGACTAGGCCTAGCTAGCAAATATTCTAAGGGGATCACAGTCATCTTACAACTGAAACTGGACTGCACCATCCATGCCACACACATCATTGAATGTAATCTTAAAAATGGCTTCTGCAATTGTTGTGTGAATTAGTTCCAGGCAATTGTATATTTTTTTGTATGTTAAATGTCAGTTTATTTAGTATAAACATAAAATGTGGTCTAAATGTTACGCTAAAAGGTGGCATTTATAAAACATGCTAAGAACCTCAGGATCTAGACAAGGCCAGGACCTCCCTCTCTTTGTGTCTTGCTCTGGACATTTTTGCCCATGAATGGCTTGTGGATTCCTATAGCCCTGTCTGGCATGCACTGTTACTGAAAGGGACCACATGGCATGAACTTGAGCTGCACTAATTCCTTTGGGGATAGTCCACCTACTCTCTGTCCATGTTTCTTTTTAACTCCCAGTCTGTTATAGGAATCATTTAAAATCCTTTTAGCCTGAGAATCTTCTGGTTTGAGTTCAAGCTAAAAACCTATCTCTTATTGGTTAGAGACACTGATTCCAAATTACTTACTATGAAGAACACATAATATTTCCTTCTCAGTTTTTTTCAGTTTGGATTAGAGGAGGGAAGGGGAGACAGGCAAACACATCATCTAATTTTTGTTTTACCATTCCAAATAAACTCTCTGGTTTCACTGGCACTCTGAGTTCCGGTGAAAAATGGGTGGAATGAAGCTTGTATTATCATGAATATTCAACAATATTATATCTATAGAAATTGAAGCAATTGTGAAGGATATATAATAATTCAAATTTCACTCTGCATTAGGTCAGATTTCCAATGCTATACCTAAATACCTGAGGGTATTTTGGCTCATATTACAAGGTTGAAAGGTTTATTTTGGCTCACTGTTTCAGTCCATGATTGCTTGGCCTTGTGGCTGTGGGCCTGTGGGAAGCAGAACATCATGGTGGGGGAGTGCACAGTGGGGCAAAGCTGCTCACTTCATGGCAGCCAGGAAGTAAAGAGAGAAAGAGGAAGGAGCTGGGGTCCCAATATCACCTTTAAGAACAGGCCCCCATGATCTAACTTGCTTTCATCAGGCCCCACCTCTTGACTATTCCATCACAATTGGTGACCAAGCCTTTCATATAAGTACCTTTGGGGGACAGGTAAGGTCCTAACTATAGCAGAATCTAAATGTGTAATGAGTGAAAATGTAATACTAAACTTTAGGCTAAGGGAAGTTTTATGGAAACAACACATTTTTGTAAAAGTCAAATTGCTAGTGACCTAGCTTGATCAAGAGAGAGGCAATCTGTCTGGGAAAAATAAATTGCATTCTGGGGTAAAATTTACACAGAAATCAGCACGATGCAAATTTTATGGTCATTTGAATTCAGATGATCTAATTTGGGGTTTAATAATATAAGGATGAATTTACCGTCTTATAGGTAACAAATTATACAATGCCCTGTATATTTTAAAATGAAATAGTTAAAACGATGAGGGGAGGCCTTTCCCTAGAATTCCAGTTTACTGCACTTGACTGTAAAATTTTGTGTGACACTAATATCCAGAGTATACAAAGAACTCAAAAAATTAGACAATAAGAGAACAAACAACCCAATCAACAAATGGGCCAAGGACCTGAACAGACACTTCTCAGAGGAGGACATACAATCAATCAACAAGTACATGAAAAAATGCTCACCATCTCTAGCTGTCAGAGAAATGCAAATCAAAACCACCCTAAGATACCATCTCACTCCAGTTAGATTGGCAGCCATTATGAAGTCAAACAACAACAAGTGCTGGCGAGGATGTGGGGAAAAGGGTACACTTGTACATTGCTGGTGGGACTGCAAATTGGTGCAGCCAATTTGGAAAGCAGTATGGAGATTTCTTGGAAAGCTGGGAATGGAGCCTCCATTTGACCCAGCTATTCCCCTTCTCGGTCTATTCCCTAAAGACCTAAAAAGAGCATGCTACAGGGACACTGCTACATCGATGTTCATAGCAGCACAATTCACAATAGCAAGACTATGGAACCAATCTAGATGCCCTTCAATAGATGAATGGATAAAAAAATGTGGCATTTCTACACAATGGAGTATTACTCTGCATTAAAAAATGACAAAATCATAGAATTTACAGGGAAATGGATGGCATTAGAGCAGATTATGCTAAGTGAAGCTAGCCAATCCCTAAAAAACAAATGCCAAATGTCTTCTTTGATATAAGGAGAGTAAGTAAGAACAGAGTAGGGTCGAAGAGCATGAGAAGAAGATTAACATTAAACATGGATGAGAGGTGGGAGGGAAAGGGAGAGAGAAGGGAAATTGCATGGAAATGGAAGGAGACCCTCAGAGTTATACAAAAGTACATACAAGAGGAAGTGAGGGGAAAGGGAAAAATAATACAAGGGGGACAAATGAATGTCAGTAGAGGGGGCAGAGAGAGAAGAGGGGAGGGGAGGGGAGGGGAGGGGAGGGGGGATAGTAGAGGATAGGAAAGGCAGCAGAACACAACAGACACTAGTATGGCAATATGTAAATCAATGGATGTGTAACCGATGTGATTCTGCAATCTGTATATGGGGTAAAAATGGGAGCTCATAACCCACTTGAATCAAAGTGTGAAATATGATATATCAAGAACTATGTAATGTTTTGAACAGCCAACAATAAAAAATTAAAAAAAAAAAAGTTAAATAAATAAATTCTGAGATTATTTGCAACAAATGAAAAAAAAATTTTGTGTGACAGAATATTGCCAGTTAAAGAAGACAAGTATTAATATATTCATTGGGTGCATTTGAATACGCCTTATTGGAATTTATGGGAAACAAAATATCCGTGTTTCTAACTTTGCTTCTCAGGCAGAGATTCCCTCAGTGCACATCAGAGGTGAGAAAAGGTCATGGCCACAGTTCATGGACCATGCTTCTCACAGTCCACTGAACAACCCTTGGGATCACAGAGACCTCACTACAGCACGACTTTACAAAGATATTTTGTATTTGTGTCAGGGGAACTTATTTTTGCACACTTGTGAAGAAGTACAAGTAAGGAATTCTGATAATAGGAATAACACTTTGACTTTCATATCAATCCAGTGGCAAGTTTAAATTTATAATTTGGTGATTAGTTCAAGCATGGTTTTGCATTATTTTCAATTAATTAAATTACTGTTATAATGTATTCAGATGAGAATACATTTGCAATTGACATCATGTTGTAAAATGGAAGATATGCACACCCTATGCTAACAATCTCAGTTTTGAATATATGCCATAGAGAAAGATTTTTTTTTATATGCACCAGGAGATATGCATGCTTGCTTTGTTGCACTGTTGCTTTTAAACAGTGTTGCAAAAATCAGGGAAAAATCAGAATGTCTGACCCTATGAGAACATACGAAGGTATAGTGGTCCATCTGCATTGTGAAGTACTATCAAGTATTTAGGAATAAACATTCGGGCTTTAGTGCGAAGACAAGGAATAATAAAGAAATGATATAGTGAGAAGGGAGAAGGGAAACGTTGACAACCATGTAAAGTTAGATGAATTTTTTGTAAATTTAAATCCACTTAATATTTTATACTTACCCACATATTATATTTTCATATTTATATATGCATATATTTGTTATGGTTTGAATATGAATTGTCTGCCCCAAAGCTCATGTTTAAAAAGCATGATCCCCAATGCAATGAGGTTCAGAGGTGGGGCTTTTAAGTAATGATTATAGCATGAGAGTTATAACCTCATCTGTTACAGCTCATTTAATGGATTAATAATTTGAATGGACTACAGGGTGGTAACTCTAGGCAGATACTGCAGAAAGTAGGGCACTGGGGTTGTGGCCTTGGGGATAATATCTATCCTTGGTCTGCTGTTCCCTTCTTTTTCTGTGCTTTCTGGTTGCTATGAGCTAAGAATCTTTCCTTCTCCACACTCTTCTACTATAATGTTCTGCCTCACCTCAGTCCAAGATCAATGGAGTCAGTTGACCATGGACTGAATCTTTCAAAATGTGGTCCCCAAATAAACATTGCCTCTTTTTAATTGTTCTTGTGAGGTATCTTGTTTATAGTGACAAAAATCTAACATATTTTATCTTATTATTATGATTTAGATATGAGATGTCCCCCCAAAACTCATATGTGAGACAATGTAAAAAAGCTTAAGGGTAAAATGATTGGGTTATGAGAGCCTTAACTTAATCAGTATTTTGATCCACTTGAATGGATTAACTGTGTGGTAACTGCAGACAGTCTTTACTTCCTTGTGCCATGTTCTGAGTTGTTTTTTTTTTTTTTTAACCACATTCTTCCACATTTTTCTGCCATTATGTCCTGCCACACCTTGGGCCTGGAGGAATGGAATTGGCCAAGTATGCACTGAGACTCTGAAACTCTGAACACCAGAGAAGCTTTTCCTCCTCTAAAACGGTTCTTATTGCATCTTTTGGCCACAGCAGCAAAAGGCTGATTGAGACCTTTTTATATGCATATGTATATATATTTGGAGAGAGGTGTCTAACTTACAAATGCCTTGTATTTGGAGAGGGGAGGCCGACATATTTCATGTAACAGCCATATCAACACTCACAAGGTCCCCAACTTGCCTTGCATGGTCTTGTATTTCCCAAGGAAGAAACAATGCATGTAGAGAGAAACCACCCTCAGCTGGTTGGCCTCAGTCACCCTAATCACAGCAGGCAGAGGCACATGACTGACATTTCCACCATAATCAGTGGAATTAGGGCAGGTGGTTCTCTCACTGACAGAAGGGTCCAGGCAGACCAGTAATGAGGCTCATCATATGAGTATGATATTTGTGTGTTCCTTACAGATGCTATATGCTCTAGTGTTGTAATAATTCACTTGTTAATCCTCCCTGGAGCATCCATGCTCAGTTACAAAGACCATGCTCTGCTTATCTTCGTAATTCCAGTACTGAACAGGTGGCACCTAAGTGACACTTGAAAATTCTTAGGCTGACTAAAGCAGTGTTTTCATTGCTGAACAAAAATACTGGTATGGAGAATTAATTACCTCTCAAACTACAGCCATGTGTCAGTTATTGATGGGGGTATATTCTAAGAAATGTGCCATTAGGTAATTTTGCTGTGGGGTGAATATTGCAGTGGGTGCTTAAACGAAGGCAGCTGTAATGTCCGTAGGTGACAGAGTCATATGTATATTCTGTCATCAGCTGAAATGTTGTCATGCTGTTTCTGTAATTATCCTGTTGACTTACTTTCAAATTCCTTAGAAGACCATTGTATTGGGCTGGAGGTGTAGCTTAGTGGTAGAGCACATGCCTAGCATATGTGAGGCCCTGGGTTCCATCCTCAGCACCTCATAAAAATAAATAAATAAAATGGGGGTATTGTGTCCAACTACAACTAAAAAATAAACTATATATATATATATATATATATATATATATATATATATAATGAAGGCCATTGTATTCCTGGGCTATGTAGAAAAATTAACTAATTAATAACTGACTAAATTCAATCAACAGTGCTCTGTTGAGTTGATATGTGATCTTTAATATATGAATGTTATTTACCAAACCAAATATAGTCAATTTGCATATTTCTGTATATAGTATATATTTTAGCATCAAATATTATCTAAAGCAAATGGCATTCTGCATCTTGACAGGTCTCTAATGACATTTTTTTCTGACATTTTTGAACTAGCATAGAGCACCAGATATGAATAATCTGGTGTAAACAATGTACATATCTAATGATTAATGGGTGATGTGCACTAATCTTGTTTTAATTGTGTTTAAATTTAGTGCTGTATGTTTGGTTATAAAAAGAAATAGACTTCTAGAAATAATGACAGAATAGAAGTCAACATATTGTAATTTTCTTCCCCTTTTTATGTTCCTAGAGACTTGAGGTTTAACAGAATAAGAGAAATTCCAGGGAGTGCCTTCAAGAAACTCAAGAATCTGAACACTCTGTGAGTACTTATTGCTAATCTGTGGGGTTCCTAAAATTACGACCTACTTGGTTTGCAATTTACCATGAAAAGTCATTTTAAAAATAAAGAACAGTCTATAGAAGAATGAAATCTAGTTAGGGGACTTGTAACCAGCAAAATTCAGTTGCTTTTTTCCACAGCCAATATTTTTCTTTACTTCTGAACTTGGAAGATATTCCTCTTTATCTGTTATTTATGTTTAACTTGCTTAGAAAAGTTTCTCAAAATGAAGAAACTGAGAGAAAGAGTGATTATATACCTTGTCTGTGGGTCCCCTGGCAAAAAAGCCATAGAATGGAATTAAGACTCATGACTTCCTGAGTCCAAAGCCCATTCTCTCTCCAGTATACTGCTGTATTTTATTTGCAATATCACAAGACCCCTATAAAATCACCAAAAATGACAATTTTATGGCTAAGCACTGATAAAAATTTCCAGCATTTAAAAACTTACATTTTATTTATGGAACAGCTATCCGTTATCTCTTTTGTATTTAGCAGTTTGTGGGCTTTGGATTCAGACTCAAATGTACCTGAATCTACTGTGCTGTAGCTGATAGTCTGTCCTTGTGGAGTAGTCAGTAAACAAAACCCCAACTGTGTGGTGGCGGGATTGTAAATTAGTACAAACATTTAATCAATAAAAGAGTTTCCTCAAAAGACTAGGCATGGAGCCACCATCAGACCTAACTATATCAATCCTCAGTATTTCATCCAAAAGAATTAAAGTCACTATACTATAGAAATATAGGTATACCCACATATATAACAGCATAATTCACAATAGTCAAGTTATGGAGCCAGCCTTATTGTCTGTTAACAGATGAATAGAATAAGAAAATGTGTTGTATATACACAATGGATAAAAAAGAACAAAATTATGTCATTTGTAGGAAAATGGATGGAACTTGAGAGCATTATGTTAAGCAAAATAAGCCAAACTCAGAAAGTCAAGAGTCATATAATTTCTCTCATATATGGAAGACAGAAAAAGAAAAAGGTAGGGCAGTATCTCATAAACATAAAAGGGGGACCAGTAAAGGAAGGGGTTAGGGTTAGGGTTAGGGGAAGGGAGGAAAAGAGGGAAAGGGGAGGTACTGGGAATGAAAATGGTCAAATTGTATTATGTTCATGTATGAATTTGCCATGATGAATCTCACTATTCTGTATATATAACACACCAATAAAAGTTTTTAATAAGCCAAGTCATAGTACATAACTAATTTTAAAAAAGTATGGTAAATGCAGTGCTTTGAACAATGATGACAGGAGGCTTAAAAGTATTAAGAGTGCTCAGTGTTTAAAATCATTGATTTTAACCCCCAGAGAGAATACACTAAAAGTTAAGAATATCCAGTGTGGCTAATCCCATGTGAGTTCATTTGTCTTCTTGTCATAATATTCTCATAACAGAGTTAGCAATCTTATCAACATGGTTCGACTTCTCACCATATTCTGGCCAACTTATCCTTTCTAACTTTAGAGCTGAGATCATGACTTTACTTGTACTTTTCCTAACTGGTTCCTTTCCAATAAAAGATGCCTGTATATACACATTTTATCATCATGTCTTCGGTTGGGAGGATATAAGAGTATAACAAAGTAGGGACTGCAGGATATATATATATATATATATATATATATATATATATATTTTTTTTTTTTTTTTTTTTTTAATAAGCAAGCAATTCTTGAACATTATGCACAAAAGTTTAAAAGTTTCTTGGAGTGCTTGTGGACATGCTTCTCCCTCTTTAGCAGAGATCTGATTTAGTGCCTCTTGGGGGACAGCATGATTGAAGCCTTCTACCACTGTCTACTGAAACATGTAGATGATAAATAAGTATCATATTTATTTATGAAATTGCTAATATTACCAAAGTTTATTAATAATGTTATTTAATCTCTTCATTTGAGATAGTTGACACTTAAAAATATTTTTTTTTCTGAGAATAATAAAAAACTGATGATTTCTATTGCAGTTAGGCTATTGTGGAATTATAATGTGTAACATTAGTGATTAGTGAATAATCCAACTCTTCATTTGGAAGAAACTATGCTTATAATTAATTTTTGCTTAACTATTTTAATTCCAAAACCATAATAAAATGATTTAGTAATTAGTGTGAATGAAAAACCTTGTTTTCTGCTAGTTGTTTTACACACATTATCTCCATTTTCTGCTACTATGTTCTGTGGTAGGTGTTATTATTTATAAAGAGATGAAGAGACTGAGGCTCATGACTAATGTAATTTACCCAAGTTCATCCAACTCAAGGGGCAGGCAGTGGTCACCCATAGTTTGATCAGTGAACTTTTGGACTGTGTAGTTTGTGGTGACAGAATTCAGGAAAGCTATTTCCTTGGAGTAATTGATGGTAGATCACCTAAATAGTAAAGTGTATGTGTATGTGTGTGTGTGTGTGTGTGTGTGTAAGTGAGAGAAGGAAGGATGGGGGGAGGAGAGGAAGTTCGAGGTGGGAGGAATTGTTCTCTTCAGAAAATGAGCTAAGAGATGAGACATTGAAAATTCCCGAAACTCCAGTTAAGAGAAGACCCAAGGGTCTTTACTAACTTATTGTAAGGGAAAAAGTAAATATGGGTCAAAATTTTAAAAATAGAGTGAAACATTTCATGTAAGAATATGAAAAAATCTTCACCATATGGCTCTGATACCAATATAGCAATATTAAGTGTTCCCATGTTTCTGGGCTGCCTTTGTACCACATTGCATAGATGTTCCTTTGTTCTCATGTGGTTTAAAACAAATGCCAACCACATTGGTCCTGTGTTATAAAAGGAAAGGTTTTCCTCAGGAACAGTTGGCATTTTGTATTAAACCCAGAGCTTGTTAAGAGGTTTATTAAAAAAAAAACCCTGGAAATGTTATGTATTATCAAAGTCTATGAACTACAGGGTAAGCTCAAGGATCTGTTAACTAAACACTCCAGATTTTGCCCCCAAAGTGCAGACAAGTGAGACCTGGCAGAACTTGGTGACTCACCATGATGTGTCTGCCTTCCAGTTTCTGGGTGAAACTGATAAGAGTAATATGGTTGGGAAGCAGACTGGAATTTCATGGTGGACCATTCAATTATGTTTATGAAAAAGATGCTTTCTGGCCCAAGGTAGTCCAAGTTCACGTTGAATGTTTTCTGCCACAGATGTGGAAATAACTAAGGGTAAGAGATCCTGGTTTCTTTTGGTGGGCAATAATATTTGAAACCAGAATCTGAATCATTAAATATGTAACTGTATACACACACATACACACACTCACACATACAATCATGTATTTATATTGATGCCTCCAGATCAATTCTAATGTCACATGGTTTTCCTCCCTCTAATTTTTCCCCCCATTCCATATTCACATCTTTTTGGAATCCGACAGTAGAATGTATTTACTTATTTAGTATTTTATAGAATGCTCAAAATAGTTTCAGAACTATTTTACACCAAGCATGACATCACAACAAGTGTACTAAATTAAGTGGAAAATAGCTGTGCGAGTCTTGTTTTCTTGTGTGTCAGGGAGAATGCAGTCAAAATGCTGTATTTAAATTACTCAAATTAATCTTTTCATTCCTCTGAGTTTATCTATTTGCTACATAATTAGATTTGTTTTCCTTTACATTGATTTTCAGGATTTGTTTTTATCTTGTTTGATACATGGTTCGTCCTCCATTTCCATTAATTCTGTATCTCTGGATTCCACCAATCATGGATCAAAACTATTTGGACAAACAAATCACATTTGTACTGAACATGAACAGACTGTTTTTTCTAATTATGATTGCCTAAACAGTACAGTGTAAGAACTACTTATGGGGCATTTATATTGTATTTGCTATATAAGTAAATTAGAAATGATTTAAAGTCTATAGGAGGATGTACATAGGTTATATGTAAACACGACACAACTTTATATAAGGCACTTATGTAGTAACAGATTTTAGTATGTACAAAGTCCTAGAAAAAAATTGCCTATGGATACTGAGGAATGACTTTAATATTGATGCAAAATTCAGAAATATATATAAAAAAAGACACATGAAATCTTATTACTAACCTTATCACATTGGTAACCTTAGGTATAAGTATCCCATTAAAATTTAATATCCATTTTTATGATTTTTTTCTTTTGATATGTTTATATGTATACATGTATTTGATATATATTCATATATAAAAACTATATATATATATATATATATATATATATATATATATTTCTTATTGCAGCTTCTTTTTTGCACAAAGGTGACATATTTTACTTTTTATTACTTAATGACATCTCCTGGACCTCATTCCGTTAATAGTTCACAGTCTTTACAGAAATATTTAAATGGCACCATTGTATGCAGTTGTGCGAGTTCTTCATGGATATTAAAGTTCTCCCCAACTTTTTTGTTCCTACTAAATATTATTCATAATTAAATATCAAATTAACTTGTTCACATATTATCTTCTACTTGAAGGTAAATTTTTAGGAGTGAGGTTGGTAGATTAATGGTTCAATGCTTATACCATTTGTTGAATGTTCCTAATGCTTCCTATAGCAGGACAATTGACACTGTCACCAACAATGCATACGGATGTCTATTTCACTATAGACTTGCCCAGGCAATGGTCACCAAGTTTTTAAATTTGATGATTTTTTTTTTTTGCTGATCTAATAGGTATGAAATGATATTTCAGTTTAGTTTTAATTTTCATTCTCACATCTGAGTTAAATAAATTTTTTATGTTTAAAGGCCTTTTGTTTACTTTTTCCTGTGACCTGCCTGTTCATGCCCATTGTCCAGTTTTATATCAGGAGTTGACAATATCTTTATTTTTAACTCTTTATATTTATTTAGCCTTTTCCTGCAATGTGTGGAATAAATATGTCAATTTTTAATTTGTCTTTCCTGAAGATATTCTGTTGTTTATAGTACTAAAGTTTTAGTTTTTAAATTTTTCAGTAGTTAAATTTAT